TTTGCCTATTGTTTCTATTTATTAAATAATGACTTGCAAATTATTAACATGCATGTCTAACTTCACAAGGTCTAAAACTAACCAAGATATACCTATCCTGAGTAATACAAAGGCTTTAAGTATGTAAATGCACCTGACATAGCTTTTATGATAATCTTTAGGGATATTTGCCATTCTAATTCTTTTATAATAGCAATATTTCTGAAGTTCAAAACACTGTGAGCCAAAAGGGAAATTCAATTTACCTAACACTAAAAATGGAAGAAGGTGTTCATCTCAGATATTACTTTAGAAATAGAATTTAAAGTGGAAACCCAGGTAGACTTTTATTATTTGCTGGAGCTAAAGCTCTAACATTGATAACAGCCATGAGTGACCAACCACATGCCAAAAAATGATGCGAGCGCTGAGATGAGACTTAAAATCTCGAGGCCATAAAACAGGTTTCATCGAAGTAGCAATAAACAAGGAAAGCATAGTGGCACCAAACAAAAGGCTCCAGCACAGAAACAGAGTTTTCCTGCCCTAAGCAGCCATTGGCATACAGGACCTGCTAGCAAACTGCACTTCCTGTCCTGTGCTGCACAGTACCTGCTACAAGCCACAGCTCACTAAATCACTAGCCCTAAGCTGCTTAGCCATGCTAGTTTTGCTAGAACTTCAATGAGTTACCTGTTTTCAGACAGCAAAGCCAGTGTCTCCCGAGTCTAAATGGTGAGGCCACACATGCTAATGTTCACGGGGTAATATGAAGGACTTTATGAAATGAATGCATGATAACTTCCATGAGAGTTATCGGAGAGGTTCCATCAATGGGAGGGGGTAGGTGATGACCCTACACACGCTACACTCTCTAGAGGCAAATTTGCCATGCATAACTAACCCGACAGCCTTAAAAGACAGGAGACCTTGCTCAACCTATTTCTAAGTTATTTTCCCCTCAAAAGTGATTTTGAGGGGCGTGATTGTGATACTTAAGCATGACACATGCTAATACATGAAATGCCAGTTTGGTTACATGTACAGTTTTTAAAAATCTATAGATTCTGAACTATTTGACATTTAATTTTCTGAAGATAAAAGAAAAGAATATGTCCTTTCATACTCAAAACTGCAACATAAAATGACAAATAAAATTCTCTTTCATTATTTTCAAATTTTAAAAACTACATGAAACACTTCAGCCAATTTTAGCTATAGGAACAATTTCAGTATCATTTTTCCACCCAAAGATGTGAGCTTTTTATCAACGGACAATTGTAATGATTAGTTGCTTCCTGGATTGTCACACCCCTCCCTATACATTAGAAGCCATGATTCATTGTAAAAGAACTTGATGTTAGTGGGTGATTTCTTAAGGTGGTCAACCGTTTCTCCCCTTACAGTTCTACTTTGTGTGGCAGTTTGAATAGAGCTGACTGTCGAGGTGTTGGTCCATTGGAGATGGATCTGCCCTAACGGAACACCTGAAACAGTGAACAGCAAGCATTTTTATTAATTAAAAACTTAATAGATGTGATGGACAGGAAACTTGGAAAACGTATAAAAGTACCAATTAAAACATAGCTCTGAGTTAGCTGGGTATACGTGTCTCTCTCCCCAAGAACTGGAAACTATTTGGCCTGGACTCCACTGCTCATTAACTTTTCAGATATCCCCAGGCTGTATTATACTTTCTGATCGTTTATCACGTTTGTTCTTGTTTTATACTGTTGTCATTGTGAGATTTTGAAGAAGGCTATGTACCTCTTTTTTAATGATTTAATTAGCGAACATATTCATATCTACTGGGTATTAAAATGAAACATTGCCTGGGAATTAATAACAGGCAAAGTTCATATTTTTGTGGAATTTGCTGAAAGCAAGATGCTGAAGTTTCAGGTGACAGTCTGCAAACTCAGGAGTGATAGTTGATTCACGTTGCTGCCTAAACAACAGCACAGCAGAGCTTCTGAGTAGACGTCAGATATCAGGGACACACAGTACATGGAACTATTATCACGCAAACTGTTTGCCTCTTCACTGCGCTGCACATTCATAATGGTGGACACTCGATAAGTTGGTGGTTGCTAGTTGGGTTGAAAAGTTTTATATTAAGACAAACCACTTACATCATAGTTGTAAATTAGCAAACTATGAATCTTGAAAGTTTTATTTAGAGTTTCTCTGAAGCTCACAGAAAGCATAAATGTGCACTGTGTTAAAAAGAAAGATGATGGTAGTTTTGTCCACATAGAGTCTTTACAGTAGCTATGCCCCCATTGTCTGAAATATAGTTATGATGTTGAAAGAAAAAATGGCCTTTGACTTCTAAAAACTTGCTGTATATTCTCAATTCGTAATGACATTTTAGCTTCTAGAAAATCCAGGAAATAAAATGTTATAGAAAATGCATCAGCAGAAGGGTTGTATCTAGTGTCCCTTTTCGAAATCTGGTGGTAGTATATAGAATGGATCACACACATTAGCACATCCAAACACACACACACACACACACACACACACACACACACACACACACACACACGCACATACGCACATACGCACACATGTGCATTCATGAGCTTTTCACAGAGCTGCCTGTTTTCTTCACTTATCCTTCACATTTTAACTTGAATGTTGCTTTCTTAAGACGAAAGTTCCTGAAACTAACTTTATCAGTTTCATCAGCTTCTTTATATTCCTACCAGTTTCAAAGTACCTTGACTTTTCCTCATACAGTACTCATTATATTTGTATGATATTGTGTAGCTTAACACACTAGCAAAATGCCAGGTATCAATCATGAGCTGAGAAATAGTAAGTATAAGCTGTTAACTTGAATATGTAGAAAATTGACAGGAATGAGGAAAGAAGGAGTCCGGATGTGACGGGACTTTAACAGAAAGAGATAGAGCATTTACTGGGACTGTTCAAAAATGATGTGTGGAGTCTCATAGTCGTGTGTAAAGATTTGTTACAGAAAGGCAGAAACATGAATTATCAGAAGCAACAAACCCATAATTAGACATAATGGGCATGGTACCAGAACTCATGAAACTTCTAGGAACCCACAAAACATCTTAAATTTTAATTTCTTAATCAAATACAAAGGTGCGTATAGTGCTAATGTACATGTATGAACCCCATAGAAGTATAAAATTCAATTTTAGAAATTTTTTTTGGAAGAAGAGACTTGGATAGTTTAGAGTACTCATAATGGTTGTCAGGCAGGCCTGGCATGATACCTATGTACAACAGACACTATTTTGGTTAGATCCTAGGAGAGGAAAAGATGATATAAGCCTGAAAATGTCTTCCCATCAAAGAGGACAGAATGACAGGCTGAGGAGATTCTTCAGGTTTACTTGTCTCTCAGCAGCTCCTTGTTTACTCTTAGCTTACAGCAGGCTTGGGAGAAAATTCCTCCCAGGCTGGATGGTGTAGAAGGATGCTAGTTCGGAATCATTGGCCTTGATTTAGAGGGGGCTTGAAGAGACATGAGAAGAGGGACATTACAAACATTCAGGCCAATGTTTACTCATGCATTTAAGATTCCTGTTGGAAAACCTTAGAAGTCAGACTTATGAATTGGCCTTCACCAGAATTGTATGTTCTAGGAGAGGGTATTCTATATTCTCACAGCTGTAGCCTTGGGTCTTTGAACACAGTAACATAAGAAAACAGGAGCGTTAGACTCTTGTAAAGGTGTTAAAACTATTACAGTTAGAACTCTGTTATGGAGCAAGCTATCCCATCCAAAGACAGAATGTATGACAGATGCCATCCATCTTATGGGTGGACTGATGTTTCTATAGGACAAAACAGAAGTAACATTTCACACATTAATTATAACCTAATTTTGTGGTGTATCTCAGACTGGCCTTGAACTTGCTTTGTAGCCAAGGATGAATGTGAACTCCAGTCTCTCCTGCTTTTAATTCCGGAGTGCTGTCACCACCATACCTCAGTCAGGCAATCTGGGAATTGAACCCAGAGCTACCATGGTAGGCAATCACTCTATCAGCTGAGCTGCATCCTCAGACTTAACTACAACCTATTTGAAAGTTAATTTTATAGGATATTTAAATTTTTCTAAATCCAGGAATCTTCACACACATTTGTAACTATAAACAGTTATAACTACTCATCATTGTACCTTATATATTTATAAGTATCATTAATTCAGATCACATACAAAGTGACAATTATATAATGTTACACACTGTGAATGGAACACAGCTGTTGTGAACTTTCCCGGTGAGTGGTTTTGTGGTTGGCATTTGTCAAGTCTCACGCTGGGAATTCAAGAGGTACGTGACAGACTGACTTACCTTGGGTGTAGAAGACACCTAAGCCAACAGGAAGGTAAAGGCAGACATTTGCTGAGAGGATATGGCATTTGTATCCTACCCTAAAACAGGAAATCAAAGCCAAAGAGTATGCACATTTTCAAATTTATGCAACTTACGCTTGTGTTTTATAAACTTCATTAAACTTTTGGTTCCATATTCTTAAACATGGTGAGTAGTTAAATATTGAAGTATATGGCACTGCTCATCTATTTTTCATGTCTCTTTGGAAAGATACATATAAAAATATCAGAAAACATATGAATTCCTGCCACTGATGACATAAAGTGGTCCCTGCACTTTTGATAAGTCAATTGTCTGTCTGTGTTTTGCAGACTCTCTGTTGTCTGTCTGTGTTTTACAGACTGCTGTTGGTGTTTTCAGATTGCCCTCTGTCTGTCTATGTTTTGCAGACTGTCTGCTGTCTGTGTTTTGCAGACTGTCCCTGGACACACAAAATCTGTAGAATGGGTTTATTGCTATTGACTAGATCTTGTTTCTTCTTCCCATCTCTCTACTTTGTTGCTGCTGCAGATGCTGTTTTCTGTTCCTTTCCCTCCCACTGTTTATGTCCCTGGCCTGATGATCTTAATTTGTTGACGTGTTGCTCTCAGTGTCTTCCTCGAATCTGGGCTCACATTTCTTTCTCTTTTGCCCTTTCCTTGACAGCCTTCTTTGCTGGAGTCCTCACATGCACACGGACTTTCAGCGCACCAGGCTCGGCTAGCTGGCATCGATGGATTAGAGAAGCATGGACTCCTCTCCAGGACTCACTCTTCCCCTGCAGCTTCCATGTTACCTCACCCAAAAGCAGACTGTCCCCAACAGCCTGCCTCTTCCACTGGTAGGAATCCCTAAAGACCCTTTAATAGGCAGGAGAAATGTGCAGTTCTTGTAGGATTAGCCGATTTAAATGCTCGGAATAACTCCAATAGCAGAATGCTCCAGTTTAACTCAATGCAACTCAAATTTTATGAGGTTATGTTGGCCACAAGACAAACAGCACATCTGATAAATCTTGGGCTTAGTATTAATAGCCTCATAAATTGTTATCATTCAAGAGCCTGGAAAATTCATCAACAGGTGCATGGATCCCCCTTGGAAATAAACTCCCTACCACATTCTTCAGCAGTGTGCCTCAGATTCTTACCTTCCCCGAGACTGGCCACAAGGAAATTTATGATGCTTGGCTTCCTCATTTGGCTCTAAAGAGTATCTTTTCCTCATTGGTTTCTTGCTGTTTTGCTTCCGTGTTTTTTTCTGACTTCCCACACAAACGCCTCCTGGGAGTCAAGGGTAGCAAGGCAAGCCTTGCTTGAATGTATGTATGTTAGTTGCCTGTCCATTCATTATGGTACCTCTGGGTGGGCTTTCTGACCAACATCTCATTTGCCTCCAGCTGTTTTGATATTTAAGAGCCTGGCTACAGACAAAATAAGCATATAATTGTAAGTCCAGAACAAGGTCAGGTCTGAAACACATGCCAACAATGGGGTGTGTACCATACCTTTGCTCTCCACTGTGACTGAGCAAATGAAAGCTGGTAAAGCTCTAAGAGAGCCACAGCATGGATATAGCAGGGAGGGTTTATACACATGTCCCCTAAGGCTCCAGTCGGCTCTCTGATTCATTTTAAAATTGCTTTTCAGGATTCAGAGCTTGGTCTGGGGGCATCTATCATCTCATGCAAACCTTTGAGCTTGAAAACACTAAACTGTCTTTTTCAGGAATCATGTTCCCAGCCCTTGATATGATTTATCATTTATTTTACTTTAGAAATCAATTAATGCATTGGCCAGATTAATTAACTGGTGAAAGACACCTTTTAAGAGTATATATAGGAGCTAATTTGATAACCAATTATGTCACAAGACAGCAACATCTCGTACTAGTTGTTACAGTTTGGGCATATTTTCTTTTCCACATCAGTGGCTTCTGACCAGATCCCCTACTTCCTGTAGCACTGGAAAATCTGCCTAGAGATCCCAACAAAGCCCGCACCTGCAGTCCAGTGTCAGCAGAAACCTTGGGGATCCATCATGCCTGTGCTGTCTCTCCCCAAGTTTAGAAAAATTTTGCTCAAAACCAGGATGTCTAATAAATACAGTAATACTTCTTTTTTCCATATTTGTTTGTTTTTATTTCATGTGTATTAGTGTTTTATGCCTACCTCTCCATGTGAGTGTATGGTGTGTGGGTGTGTGTGTGTGTGTGTGTGTGTGTGTGTGTGTGTGTGTGTATGTTTACGTGCGTTTGTGTATGTATGTTTGTGTTAGTGTGTGTATGTTTATGTGTGTGTATATGTGTTTATGTGTGTGTGTTTGTGTGTGTGCATGTGTATATATGTGTTGTGTATATGTGTATGTGTGTGTATGTTTGTGTATGTGTATATCTGTGTTTGTATGTGTGTGTGTTTATGTGTATGTGTGTTTGTGTGTGTGAATGTGTGTGTGTGTGTGTATGTGTGTGTGTGTGTATGTGTGTGCTTGTGTGTGTGTACCACATGCATGCCTGGTGCCTGCAGAAGCCAGAGTTCTTCCTCCTGAACTGGAGTTAGTAGTTACGAGCAACCATGTGGTTACTGGGAATCAAACTCAGATTCTCAGCAAGAGTAAGGAATTCTCTTAACCACAAGAGTCATCTCTTCAGCCCTGAAATACTTCTTTAACCTCGCAAAAGCAGTAGTCTTAGTAACTGCATCCTGAATACCTTTTTCATGCAAGTGGCTTGTATTTATCCTTAATGGACTACATAGTGGTAACTGTCCCACTGCAATGCCACTGACTGAAGAAATCTCCTTGATTGAACAGTGTGCTTAGCTACTCATTTCATGTCATTGTTGGTATGTGCATTGCTGGCTTCTGTTGTAACCTTGCAGACATTGCTCCGCCTTGACTTAGAGGAGTGGTCCTTTCCTCAACCTTGCAGACATTGCTCCGCCTTGACTTAGAGGAGTGGTCCTTTCCTCAACCTTGTAGACATTGCTCTGCCTTGACTTAGAGGAGTGGTCCTTTCTTCAACCTTATAGACTTTACTCTGCCTTGACTTAGAGGAGTGGTCCTTTCTTCAACCTTATAGACTTTACTCTGCCTTGACTTAGAGGGGTGGTCCTTTCCTTACAAGCTCATCTTTCTCTGACTCCACATGTTCCTCAAAGAAGCAGGATCCTTGAATCTTAGAGAGGTCCTATAAGTTTGAGAAAACAGTATGTCCAAATGGTCAGGGTGTGTAACTTACAGAAAAGTCCAGAGGAAAACAGGACTGCACACATGATAATGTGAACATGCATAGCTAAAACCTGGCCATGCAAAGGGAAGACTGAACAATTTCAGACCATTTGTTTCTTTCTCATCATGTCAATAGCCTAATATTTATCAGAGCACATATTCCAAAACTTAATATGGAATAAATTTAAGACCCTTTCATATTTAATGGATTTTATGAGACAATTTCTTATCAAATTGAAAGATTATACAAAGTTCTCTTTTATAAAACATAGAGATTTGTGTTTACTTGGCAATTAGCTTCAGTTCAGTCAGCAAATAATAATTGCAGAGTACACAATTATGGATTCAGAAGTTCAGATTAAATACACTGGAAGGGGAAATTATTTAGTAATTATTGTTCTGCTCAAGAATGATGGGTATCTCATTATGTATTTGTGAGTAAAGAAGAGCCTAGTTATTGTCTTTCAAATTAAAAATGCTGCATCTTCAAACTCAAATTCTTATTGTGGAAAAATAATACTTTTTGAAAAGTTTTTTAAAATAAATATTTTGTGGAATAAACTCTTCCCTGACCCTGAGGCAATATACATATGCATATATAGATGGATATGCACATATGTATAGAGAAATGCATATGTAAACATAATGTTCATTCTTGTGATACATTCACAGATGGGTATATAACTCTCTCTCTATGTATTTATATGTGTAGGAATATATATCCCTACATACATAAATATATATATATATATATACATGTATATATATATATATACATGCACACATATACATGTATATTCCTACACACACACACACACACACACACACACACACACACACACACACACACATATATTTCCTACATATATAAATACAACCTGATCGGTCTATATAATATTACCTATATGTATGTTTTCAAGGCTAACTGTTTGGTATTGCACAGTCAATCGGCTGTGCTCTTCTGGGGGTAGGATCAGAGACTGTTTCTCCCACTCTCAGGATCCCTTCATTGCCTGTAGTTCTTTGTGTAGGAGTGAGGCTTCCTGGGATTTTCCCCATTCATGTTAAGATGTCCATTGCTATTGTCTTTGTTCAGCTCAGGTTTAGGCAGTCATGTTAGTGAGACTTCATACATGAAGCCTCTGATATTCCCAGGGGAAACCATCTCACAGCGAAATCCTCATTTCTCTAGCTCTTACCGTCTTTCTGGCCCCTCTTCTGCCATGCTCCCTAAGCCTTAGGTGGGATTGTATTTTGGATTCCTTTGGGAATGTTTTGTTTTATGCCAGATCAAGACTACACTTACTTGTGAGTACAAGGAAAAGAATTTAGAATGTAGTTAGGGATTATGCTGGTTTAATAAAGTGGAGGTTGTAGGTTATCTTCCAAGGTCCATGCCTTTACTAGTCCTGCAGAGTTGGCTAGCTTCCCATGACTGTGCATGATTTCCCTCTTGTTGAGCGGGTCTTAAGTACCATTAGAGAGCTATTGGTCACCGCCAATGTATGTGCTCCTTTGGGGGTGATTGCACCATGCTCTCCATCGTTTGGATGCATCGCATCATAGCTGGACAGGACCGTTGTTCCTCCATCCTTTGAAAGGTGCCATCTGGTACCTTGAAAGTGGAAGATAAGTTGCCAAAGACACCATGCACTTCAGTCACAGGGCCCAGAGGCCCCTGAGTTGGAACTCAAGTAATGTTTAAGGATTGACATTCAGATTTTTATTATATTTATTCTCACAGGCTAACTGACTCATAGCCTCCTTTCTACAAAGTCAAATCAAAACAAAACCACAAAAAAATAAAAATAAAAATAAAGAAAAGGCATTCCATGGAGAAAGTATCTTCATATAGTCAGTTGCTAAGGTGAACTCTCAACTCTTTCCTCTGGGAACTAAATGGACCCAGTCACAAAGCCCAAGAGCAGCCATAGCTGGTGGCCTGTGGAGAGCCCAGGTCAAACTGTCTGTGGGACCAACCAGGAGGATATGAGCTCCTGTCACTGCTGTGGCGATGGGGTGTGTCTGGTAAAGCCAGGCAGCCACAACCTCCAAAGAAGGTTATGTCATAGTTGGCAGTAGTGTTAAAATTACAGGAGCTTTTCCACTTGAGGACTAGGAATAGTGTTTATTATCTGAGGTTCCAATCATTTGGCAAAGGGAAATATATTCATTTTTCTGCTAAAATCATGTCTTCTGCTCAACTAGAGATCAGGCTCAGCCATGACTCACAGAGAACATCCACTAGAAGGTCCGAGCTGTGGATTTACACTGAATGGATTCACTGCGATGAAACCATCTGGCATATTGGATTGGCCTTTCTCCCAGACCATTCGGGTACCCAACAGTCCTCTTCCTATGTCAGTAGGTTACATACAGGACCTAACCCATGCTGATAAATTCTCTCTTTATACCACTACCATGTTAGCTAGAGTTGAATTTGAAATAGAATCATGGTACTGAAACTAAACTGATATTTGTAAAAGTCATAAAAATAATTATAAATTTTTACAAATTTGTAAAATTTACAATTTTTGTAATGCAAATTACAATTTTTACAATATCTGTAAAAGTCGTGAAAACACAGGCTCATCCCAGTGTTTGGTTCAGTTTTTTT